GGGAGGCGAGGCGGCCCCGACGGCACAGACACCCCTGGGCGCCTCCGTACCCCCCGGCAGCCCCCCGGCTCTGCGCGTCGTTCGCAACAAACACCTGAGGGCCTTCCTGCTTCCTCCCGTAGGATGCAGCTGGTTTCGTCTCATCCCGGGGCCGCCCGCTCTGCTTTTTAAGAGTGGCCCCCTGAAACGCAGCTTGTCCTGGGCCAGAAAGCCCCTGCGCCTGTCGCACTCCAGGAGGAGCTGAGCCTCTTACCACGCTCCAGCTGCCAACTAGTGTTGAGGCTGGAGCAGCGGGGGTTGGGAAACGGGGGTTGGTGGGGAGCGTTCCTAGATGTGCGTTATCGGCGGCCAGGGGTGGTCTCAGCTGCCATTTCTGCTTAAGGGTTGTGTTGGTTGTGTTTTCTTGTAAAAGTTGGAAGATCCTGTAAATTAACTGCTAGCATTTCATTTGTTTTCTTTTTAATAGGGATTCCAGCTCCAGTGGTCTACTTTGTGGATTATGTCACCAACTCCATATATCTTGAAGACATTGTAGGCTCAGTAACTGTTCAAGACCATATTAATTCTGTACAAGGGAGTGGAAATGATAGTAGTAACCTCCTTGTGTTAGCAGAGAAGATGGGTGAGCTGTTAGCAAGAATGCACGATGAAGACATTATACATGGGGACCTTACAACTGCCAATATACTTCTGCGGCCGCCCACAGAGAAACTGGACTTGGTGCTGATAGACTTTGGACTCAGTTTTGTGTCAGGTCTTCCAGAGGATAAAGGAGTTGATTTGTATGTTCTAGAAAAAGTCTTCCTTAGCACTCATCCAGATACTGAAGCAGTGTTTAAAGCTCTGCTAAAGACTTATGCAGCTAAATCTAAAAAATCTGGTCCTGTGATCAAAAGGCTGAATGAAGTACGGCTAAGGGGAAGGAAGAGATCCATGATTGGGTAGAAGAGAGTGGGCTTAGGGATGGAGAAATGTCAGTGCTTAAGTTCTGCAAATATGGTTATTTATATTTCCAGTTGGTTTTACTTCACAGATTGCTATTTTGATAACTGTCTTCAAATAAATACATTTGAATGAGTTGTGTCATAAAGTAACCAGAGTAATTGTGAGATGGGAGCACAGGCAAGAGAGAAACAACTAAAGGTCATTTCTTTCCTAAATGTTAAATATTTCTCCTAAAAAGTAGTTTACAGTGTCATTCCACTCACTATCTTCTTTGTGTGGTTAGAATCAGAGTAATCTTTCTCAGCCTGTGGACCAGAGCCCTGTTCATGGGAGGTAAGAGAGAGCTGGGGATACCAGAGCATCTACAAAAGGTAATTAAGAAAAATAAATGTCTTATTTTTCTCAGAAAACTTTACAACGGAGTGCTTAAATCCATTATAAATGGCTCTACACATCCTGGAAAATGCTAAGAGGACCGAATTCCAGGGTAAGGCAATGCTGAAGTTCAGTGCTAAACATAAGACAGGTTCATTTTCTTCCAGTAGTAATTTTAGTGTTTTTTTCACTTTCAGTTGGTAGTATTTCCTTAAGCAAATATGAAAGTTATTAATCAAGAAGAGTTTTCTGCTGAGAAACTTCCACTTCAAGAAAGAAATCTGTAAATTTCCATTTTTGGAACTTTTTGAGAGGGACTGCTTGTGTTGCGATTGCCTGGTTAGGTAGGCAGTAATACTGGGGAGTATTGGTAAAATTTTCTCTATATTTATTATCTGAATTACTGTTTCTAATAGTGTGAATGTGAGATGGTTCAGTGGAAAAACTTACAACCCCCACAATAGATGGGTTAGGAGCTAATCTGTCCTCTGTGTTAGGAGCAGACTGGGATGCGAGTTGTGAACTAGGTGAGTGTGTGAGCTTTACCGTATTTACTTCAGGTAACGATTTAAAAGAAACTGAACTCCCTGCGATTCGCTGTGTTGGCAGCTGCTTTGTCGGGGAGATCCTCTGCTCCTTTATGCTGCATAGGGAAGAGCAAACCCTGCAGGAACCCCGTTCCGCAGGGCGCGTTCCCCACCCGTTCCCGGCCGCGTCCCTTCCAGACGGCTCCTTCCAACCGAGGGGGAAACGCCGCAGTGAAGCAGCGCGGGGTGATGGCGGGCGCAGCTCTGCCTGCCCGGGGAGGGGGGGTGGAGGGCTCTTCCTCCCCGCTTACAGCAAAGCCGCCTGGGGACACGCTAGGAGGGGACGGGGCAAGCGGGAGCCCCGTGGCCCCCGCCCGCAGGGTGCCGTAGCCCGGGGGGAGGGAGCGGGCGCCAGCTCGGGGCTGCGCTGCGGGCGGCGCCGAGAACCACAGTGCTCCGCCGCGGTAGGGCGCTTATTCCGCGCGGTGGCGCC